AAACTCTCAATTTACCGGTCGATCTACGTCCCTACTCTCACCTATGGTCACAAGCTGTGGGTAGTGACTGAAAGAACAAGATCATCGATGCAAGCGGTGAAAATGGGCTTCATCCGAAGGGTGGCTGGCCTCTCCCTTAGAGATAGGGTGAGAAGTGCAGCCATCCGGGAGGGGCTCAGAGTAGAGCCGCTGCTCCTCCACGTTGAAAGGAGTCAGTTGAGTTGGTTCGGTCATTTGACAAGGGCACCTCCTGGGTGAGGTGTTCCGGGCATGTCCCACTGGGTTAAGGCCCTGGGGCCGACCCAGGAATTACTTGCTGGCCTGGTAACACTTTGGTGTTCCCCCGGACAAGCTGGAGGAGGTGACTGGGGAGAGGGAGGCTGCACTGAGTTGAGTTGAGATGTTTTAAGTTGTGTTCCAGTACATACTGTGAACTGCACTGAACTGGTTATCCACTGAATGAGTGCAGTCACATGATCAAATCCAGTTTCACAGCCATAAGTGAACACTTGGACCCCACCAGGTCAGTCTGCTGACAGCAAACAGATATTGACTGTGATCGCTGGTGCTGCTAATTTCATCTCTGAAGGGAAAGGAAATCATTTACACTTTTTTCACTGCAATTTGTCTCCTTCAATCCATAAAGTTTGACTCATAACACTGTCATGGTGAGATGACACACAGCTGTAGAGGAATCGAGGTGTGTGTGCATGTGTGTGTGTATATTTGACTCTTTCGACTGAATCAAGCGCTCTCCACAGTGCCCTCCCTCATTCAGGGCCTCACCCTAAAGGAAACTGATTTGCAAGTAATTAAAAACGTGTGTGTCTGGATGTTGGCCAACTTCATGTTCTATTCATGCAGATTAATACATATTTGCCATCGCCTGAGGGGGCTGAAAGGCATCTGTCTGTGACGTTAAACATTTATGAGCATGCAGGACACACACAGTGAGAGAAAGAGAGACAGAGATATTCTGACAGTGCTCTGCCTGCTCCTCCTCAGATCAGCACACATCTTAATGGAGCACATTAAATCAGAATGGCCAAACAGGGAATTTCAGAGTGACAATGGCATTCATCATATCTCTGTTTTAGAGGAAAAAATCTCCCCTCAGATCCTCCTTAGCTGCTAGATATCATCAGTCTGATGCAGGTTACTTTTTTGTGTGCTAAATTGTGTTTTTTAATGCTGTGGCCCCTTTTGGATAAACCAGATCCTTCATGTGTATATGGATAGTTTGGTAACTAATTCTTGGACATCAGACCCTTGACAGATGGTGACAGTGACTCTTATTTCCATTGCACTGTGGTCTAATGATGGAGGACGTGTATCTACACCTGCCTGCTATATGTTCTCCCCATATGTCTGATGAATGCCAAGGCACAGTGTCCAAAAGAGATCCACACAGACTTGCAGTGCAGGAGTGCTTCAGGCAGGCAAAACTTTGCCCAAACGTGTGTGTCCTGTACGACATAGCCTTGTCAACACATATCGTCTGCAGTGGCCGGTCCAGGCTTCTTTTGTGTAATGTAAAATCCTAACCTGTATCAGTCATACTTTGTTCCTATTGGCTCACTCTCTAGTTTTATGTTCACTTCATGACTAAATTGCCGTCTCTGTCTTCAGGATTTTTCCAGTGTGACTTTTTGTGGACGTGCTACTCAATACTGGACTGCACTTGGACTTTGAAATTAACCTTCTTGCCCACTCAAGAGTTTGCCTACCTGTTATTCATGCAACTCATTATTCATGTAAAGCTCAAACTCTTGTGCCTGGGTCCATCCACCTTGAGTTCACTATGACAAATGAACTTCTCAAACTAGCAACATGGACTTTATGTAGAAGAGAGCAAGGTCTGATCCTCTGCTTTACCTCCTAACCTTTGTTTCCCTTCAACTCACCTTACAGTTGAGATAAAAAACTAAAAAACAAATTGAGACCTGGGGAGATCTTCACAAAAGATTATTTTGCCTGTCACCTTTGTGAACATGGCTTATGAAACTTGGACCCTGGAACTTTCTAGGGAGGATTGTTTTTCAGTTGGTTGTCCAACTTGGTGTGCTGCAATATCCTGAAGATGCTTGGACGTCAGTAGTTTATGTGTTTTGTGCATTCGTATCCCAGGATGTCAGTTAATGTTGTTTTGTCAGATGTCGCCTGTATCTCCCTATATCAGACAAAATGATGGCCCTGTTTGGTGCCTTCAAGAGCCTTTCAACTTTAGGTACAAAACTTGGTTAGATCTGGGGAATGGTTGTTGTTTCAGTAAAATCTGCTCCTTCACAATAGTAGCAGTAATAGCAGTTTTGTCTCTATACATTTTTTTTCCTTTAAGCACCATTAAAATAAGGAAAAGCCAACCGAGCCAGAGAATGGATGGCTACATTCTTTGTTCAAGAAACATCAGGTTTGCTGTTATTTTTAATATAAAGAAGAGAGGAAGTGAGTGCTCTGTTTACACCTTCATTATACTCCTACCTAGAGGCCTAGTAGTGATTTTATCTGTTCTCAACAACCTACAGTGCTGCTCATATTACACATACAAATATATAGATAAATGAAAGAACACTGTCAGCTGTTTCAGTATTAATTAATAACATTTATTGTTCTTGCTGTGAGTTGAAGGGAAACAAAGGTTAGGAGGTAAAGCAGAGGATCAGACCTTGCTCTCTTCTACATAAAGTCCATGTTGCTAGTTTGAGAAGTTCATTTGTCATAGTGAACTCAAGGTGGATGGACCCAGGCACAAGAGTTTGAGCTTTACATGAATAATGAGTTGCATGAATAACAGGTAGGCAAACTCTTGAGTGGGCAAGAAGGTTAATTTCAAAGTCCAAGTGCAGTCCAGTATTGAGTAGCACGTCCACAAAAAGTCACACTGGAAAAATCCTGAAGACAGAGACGGCAATTTAGTCATGAAGTGAACATAAAACTAGAGAGTGAAGCTTAACATTACAACTGCAACTTAACAATCTGGCGAAGGTAGATGGAAGAAACCACTGTGATGAAAGATGACAATCCTGATCACTGTCACTCCTTCTAGCAACCGAACCAAATACTTTCCTAGGGGCTAGGCTAGAGGTTACAGGAATCTATCTAACAGCAGGCAAAACAGCAGGTTCTTTCAGATATTTCACATTAATCCCTAATTGTTAATCAATCAATGATAGAAAAACCTTTGCTCTGCTCCAGAATCAATTAGAGCCTGCAGGGCTTGCATGTTTTGACCAAAACAAACGTTTGCTAGTAACTGTAAACTTGGTGGGGGATTTGCCTTAGCTCTGCCTGTCGGTACAGCTACAGTTTCTGATGGGTGTGCTCTTTTTTGTTTGACTGGTCAAGTTGCAACAAAGTGAACGGTCTTTACAACTACTGCTCCCTGGAAAGGGGAAAATTTCTTGGGGACCAAGCATCCTGCAAAGGAGGTGGTGAAGGCTTCAGTAGAAGTTGTGGTTGGAGGTTGATGTGAAGTATTGTCAGCAGCTGGAGGTTGCAGAAGAGCTCTGATTTGGGCAATGGGCTTTTGGAACGTCCTGAAATATATTCTTTTTGCATTGGATATAGTTCTTGTTTATGTCAGCTAAGCATTATTCCCTGGTTAGTGCTAGCATTTTGAACTGTTGTTGTGTCTGCAGAACCTTAGCCTGTCAGAACCTGTCTGTGAAGGTTCTCAGTCATCCAGGTTATTGTAGTCTAAGGAGCTTGGAAAGAAAAGTGTCTGCACTTCTTTAAGTGGCTTGAAAAGCAGCTTGAGGTAGTAATACAAAGGATAACTATTCTGACAGGTAATCACTGTTGCAACTCTATGAACTCTTAAGTATTAGAAATAGACAGAATTTTAGAAATTACTTTAAAAGCTAAAGGTTATAGTAACCACCTTAACACTGTGTAGAAATGTAACAAGGTTAATTGCTGATTCTAACAGCGCCCGTCTCGATCCTAGCTCATTTTCACGTGTTTTGATGTCATTTTATATTATGTTTCGTGTTTAAGTCCTTTTTGGTAGTCTTAAGTTGATTCTCTAGTGTCTAGGTTGTTCCTGTTTAGATTTGGATTATTTAGGATTCCCCCTTGTGTCTTTGCCCTCTGTGTCGTCCTCTGTGAGGCTCTGATTATATTTATTGTGAGTTCTTGTGTTTCCCTTGTGTTTCATTTGGTGTTCCCTGCCTGTCATGATATCAGTGCTTCCCCAGTCATGTCTCTGTCTATCTGCAACTCTCTGTGTGTTCCCATTACTTCCTGTTTTACTTTGGTAGTCTCCTGTCTGTGTGCACCTTGTTTTGCTTTGTTTCTCTTATTTTGAAGGGATCTTGTCTCGTGTGTTATGTTTAGCTTTGCGTCCTCTGTCTCGTTGTGTGTAATCTGCCCCAGTTGTGTTCCCCATGACTTTCCTGTTCTCTCGTCATTCCCTGTGTATTTAAACCTTTTTCTTTTCTTCTGTCCAGCATTGCGATCTTCCTCATACCTGTCTGTGTGTTCTGTCTGCCAAGCCTATTTTGTATCTTCAAGTTTAGTAGATTTTTTTCCTAGTGTTCAGCATTAAAGCTGCTTTTTGAGTTACTTTTCACATCCTGGACTCTGCATTTGGTCCTCCATTCCTGCCTGCCACGCACAGTTTATGACAGAAAAATTCAAAAATTCAAAATTCTACATACATGCAAACCTTGTCATCACAGTATGCTTGACTGACCTAACTCTTGGAATGTAGGCTTCCCAGTATGAGGTAGGGCTGTGTTAGCATCATTATGGCATACATTTTGCATCTGTTTTTATTTGTCATTTTTTTAAGATTGGAGATGTTCAGCTCCAAGCTGTGTTTCTTCCTACACACTATATGCCTTGGCAGCTCTTCAAAACTGAAGCTTTGCACAGAGGATTGTAGGATTTGAAGATCACTCTCCATTAGATGAGCTCAAAAACACATGGCATTACAAGTGAAAAACACTGCTGCTAAGTTAACACACAGTAAGTAACCACTACTGTCTGTGTGTCTCCAGGTGGCTGGAGTGTGTGGGGCCAATGGGCACAGTGCAGCAGCGAGTGTGGTGGAGGGATCCAAACCCGGATTCGGACCTGTCGGTCACCTCCGGAGGAGTCGTACCTGTGTGAGGGCATAGTGGAGGAGGGCCGGCCCTGCAACTCGCAGTCCTGCACTGGTAAGCTCCTTATTCTTCGTGTTCATTTTTCTATGTCTGTCAGTGAGGGTGCTTTAAGCTCTGTGGGTAAATACAAGTATGTGGTGTGTCCAAACTGTGCTTTTACAACTACTTTTTCTTTACCTTTCCTTTCTTAACATCTTGTTCATGTGCTTATGTATCCATTCTCTGTAAGTCAGAGTTGTGACTTAAAGAGTGCATGTTGGAAAGGGGACTTTGATCGATGAAAAATAAGAATGACATGGTCAGGTTTTTAGGCAGTATGTCAACATCATTAGCCCACAAATGACTAAAGGGACATGAAAACAACATCAGAGTTCTGTTTTATTGAAGCCATTTACCAAGAGCTGCAATGTTTCACTGGTTAGAGCTTTCTTTATTTGTACAGAACTGGCGGTGCATGACTGACAGCTAAAAAATCAGATTACACTCATTACTGTTGATGTTATTGCATGTCTTTTCTATTTAGTTATGCCATCACAAGGAACATTATACAACAGCTGACAATATAAAGAGACTACTGCGCACACACACAGCACACTAACACAGACAGCACAACACAAGTCCCAAGTTTGGCTGATGCTGTTCTGGGTGACCAATCACGTCACGGTTGTGTCCCAAATATAAGGCATTAATGAAGGAGCTCTGGTTGCTAACCCCCGCCCCTCCTTCCCCCGGCCTTGCCTCACCCCCCTTTAGGCAAAGGTCGCCATCTCTCTCGCAGCCAATCGCTTCGCTCGGTGGACAGCCGCAAGCGTGATGACGCAGACAAGCCCCGCAGTGGACAGCAGAGTTCTCAGACAGGTAAGACAACGGGACGCAGAGGGATCCCATGCATCAGTCACTGCGGCAGCTTGGGTGATAGCAGCATATCACACAAAAAACATGACACCCACAATAGAGAGAGTTGCATTCACTTACAGCACATCTATCAAAATCTCCCACAGTAGTGCCTCGTCCGCAATGGACTAATTCCAACATGGACCCTGCCTGAACATGGTAAAATTGTATTTTTGTGAAATTATGGCAGGACATGGTCCCCTGTCTGTAAAACAACACATCAAATGAAGTCTTCCTTCTAAGTGATACTCCACCCAAAAGTTCAACAAATTTGGATCTTATTCATGCTTTATTTGTGAGGAAGACAAATTTCATTTCTGTCCTTAACCCTTTCATGCACGAATTATGACAACCTCAATCAGGATTTTTTTTCTTAAGTATTTTTATTCATCTTTAGGCATGAAAAAAAGATTTTTGAACTTCATTTTTTTTAAACATGTACTTTTCAAAAAGTTTTGTACATGTCCACTTAGGTGGACAACATACGTTTTGACTTGTGAATTTGACAAACGAATGAACAATATACGCTGTGTGTTGTGTTTATGTGCAAGTATACCATCAACACTGACACAAATACAAGAAAACAGCCTTTGAATAGCTGTCCACTGTAGTGACCACTATGCGTGAAAGGGTTAAAATATAGAGCTGGAGAGTAGCCTAGCTGAGCAGTGTTGGATAGAGTTCCATGTAAAAATAGCAGGTTGCATTACAAGATTATTGCCATTTACAAGCCCATCTGTTATGTTATGGTTTACATTTTCCTCCTGGTGTAATGACTTTATTTCATTGGATAGTCAGTTTTCATTTCTTCCTCCCACACAATGGGGCAACAGCGAACAAGGAAACACTGTAACATATTTATTTACTATATATTAAAAAATAATATATTTAATTGGTTGCTTATTTGAACATTCAACTAAATCGCATTATTACAATGCGTAATCCTACTTTGTCATAGTTATACACCCACCACTGTAGCATAGCTTATAAAATTAGAAGTCAGTGGCAGACACACAGTATTTAATTACTATGGTGGAAGTATTTCCCCACGAATTCCAAACATACACGGTGACATTAATATGATATTGTAACCACAAACCTTCAGAAGGTTCCTGCACTCCTGGAAGCTTCTCTGGAACATAACTACATAACAAATGTTTAGATTTAACTGGATCTCAACTCTCACTGCTAAACTGGGCTAATCACCTCCAGAGTCCACCTGTGGCTGGGGTTGTTGAACCCTGACCAAGCTGTCACAGGGCAAAAGACATGGCACACCCTGGACCACAGCTATTGGTCTTTGGAAAACAAGACAACATACAAAGCCACTGAGATCTGTTGAAGATACGGGGGTAAAATTTACAGCAAAGATAGGTTTTGAGTGGAGTATTACTTTTATTTGCTAATTGATTCCCTACTTCCTGTTTACTTCTTTCCCTGCTTCCCACCTGAGACTGCCCACTTTTCCCTTATTGGTAAAGTGACCCACTGAAGAGGCAGTCGTGGGCAGTGAAAAAATCGCTGACATATCCAGAGTCATGGGCATTAATTTCCACTGGAAGTCGATGCCAAGGATATGACATCAGAAACTCAGCGAAGGAAAAGACCAGCAGCAGACCAAAAGCTGGGGCCCATTTCAGGGGCTGTCTCCACTGAAGGACAACATTTGGGAACTTGTGTAGAGCCTTAGAAATTTAACTTGGACAGGAAAATTTCACTTTCTTGTCTCTATTCTGTAGTGGATTTGAAGACTGACTAGGCACCATTATCTTTGTCTGCTAAAGAAAGGACATTTATCAACACCTTTGGAACAGATTCATATACTAGTCAGGAAAAATTACGCCTTTAATGGAGGCAGCCCTTAAATGCAGCACAGCGAGAATGTACCCTTTATCAGAGCACAACCCTTCCTCTTTTGGCCACAGAGGCTAGATCCTGCATGATAATTAGTTATGGTCCTGTCCTTTCCTTTCGCTCCTCTTTTTTCCCCTATCCTCCTTTACCCATCCCTTCCTCCTCAGTAGACTCAGCTTCAGGTGAGGAGTGGTCATCGTGGAGTGTGTGTTCTGCCACATGTGGGGAGGGCTGGCAGAGTCGCACTCGTTTCTGTGTGTCCTCCTCCTACAGCACCCAGTGTAGTGGGCCACTGAGAGAGCAGAGACCTTGCAACAACTCTGCTGTTTGTCCAGGTAAGCTCCCACCCCCCACCCCAAAATCCCTCCTGCTGCCTCCCTGTGCTCACCCAGCCCTCTCCAGGACCCTGCCTCACCCTTACGAGACCCACATGATTCAGCGCCACAGTTGCAGCAAGTCTGTGGCCTATGGGACAATGTACACCTCACCTCACAAGCATGACTGGGTTTGCGGTTTTAGAGATTTTAGGATATTCTCACACTCTCATACAACCAGAGCAGACATACTGGGAGACTCCTAAACTTTGAAAGTACAGTGACCACATTGAATTAGCACAGATTATCCCAGATAACTGCCCACGGTTCATTGTGGCAGTGAAGGTATTGTGTTGTCTTGGTGTTTGTCTGTCTATAAATCATACGCTAGCTGCTCTGATTGCAGTGCACGGAGCGTGGGACGAATGGTCACCATGGAGTCTGTGTTCATCTACCTGTGGCCGAGGTTACAGGTCTCGAACACGAACCTGCACCCCTCCGCAGTTTGGGGGAGATCCATGTGAAGGGCCAGAGAAACAGACCAAATTCTGCAATATAGCAGTCTGTCCGGGTAAGGACCTCAGATGTGATTTGATTTCTGAAGATTTTCATGGTAATGTTAATAATGATTTAGGCCACTTATTAGATTATTTAACATCATGCCAAACCCCCACCCACTTGCACTTATGTACAGTGGGGCATAAAACATACAAATTTAACAATCACTCCCACCTCACACAGCAGTAAGCCAAGTGTGGGGAGGTGAAGAATAAGAAGAATTCAGGTTATCTTTATTCCTTAAGCAAAAAATGTAGTTGCTGTATCTGCATGTTTGTGAGTGTGAACATGACATTATCTTACATGTGCACAAAGGTCTGACTGTTTCAAAAGTCTGCGACTATGAACGCTACTGGGCATGCTGTTTTAGAGTTCTGAGCACAACCCTGGAAACACAAAACTAGTTTACCTAAAACATACTTAACCTGTACTTTGTCTGTTCAAGCAGCTATAAGATGCTCCAGTAGAAAAAATCATGTTAATGTGAAAAGTCTGCTCAAGAATTGGAACGGTACAACTCTATTTATGGTAAATGGCCTGTATTTATATAGCGCTTTACTAGTCCCTAAGAACCCCAAAGCGCTTTACATATCCAGTCATCCACCCATTCACACACACATTCACACACTGGTGATGGCAAGCTACATTGTAGCCACAGCCACCCTGGGGCGCACTGACAGAGGCGATTATAAAATGTGTTTGTTGTATTTTGAGTGTTATAGTATTTCAAACAGATAGCGTTCTCTTTTGTTCTGTTTTCTTGTTGCTGTGGTGACCTTGGCCTCTCTCAGTGGATGGCGTCTGGAATGAGTGGTCCAGCTGGAGCTCCTGCTCTGCCTCCTGTTCTAATGGAACCATGCAGAGAACCAGGGAGTGTAATGGCCCCTCATATGGGGGTGCTGAGTGCAGAGGCGAGTGGCTGGAGACTGTCGACTGCTTCCTTGGAGAGTGTCCAGGTAAGAGAGCCAGATGCTAAGTTGAAGAAAGATAGTTACTTAACTCCACATTTACTACAAATTACACAGACCTTCAGATTACTAGCATTGCATTTTATAGTATTTCGTAATGACCTAAATTCAGAATATTTGATTTCCTTTTCTCACTTCTTTAATAAAATTTGGGTTTTTTTTATTGGAGAGCTTATTTTCAACTCCATGTTTTTATTATGAGGCTATACTAGGTTATCATTGTGACAGAAGAACAACAGCATGAGTGAAAGTAAAGATTGACAAGACAGCAGTGTGACCTGCTGTGATGTACAGTTTGGAGATGGTAGAACTAACAAAAATACATGAGGATAAGCTGGAAGTGGCAGAGTTGAAGAAACCCAGATTTGTATTGGGAGTGATCCAGATGCACAGGGTTAGAGTGAGGACATCAGAGATACAGCTCAGGTTAAGTGCTTTTGAGACATAATTGGTGAAGCAAGGCTGAGATTGTTTGGACATGTGGAGAGAAGGGATAGTGTATATAAAAGATGTTGAATATGGAGCTCCCAGGCAAGAGGAAGACCACTGAGAAGATTCATGGATGTAGTGAAAGAGGACCTGCAGAGGGATTAGTGGGAAAGATGAGGATGCTAGGGACAGGGCGAGATGGAGGTGGACAATCCACCATGGCGATCTCTTTTTCAGCCAACTGTGCTGAATGAGATTTCATAAATATAAAAACAGAACATTGTGGTCCGCATAATGGTTAAATTCACTTCATTGATAGCAAATGTGTAAAATTTACATGTTCCTGTTGTATTTCATTATCATTATTCACTCATTCTCTTAGTGGATGGCAAGTGGCAGACCTGGTCCTTGTGGTCGGGTTGTTCTAAAACCTGCGGAGGGGGGAGTCAGCAGAGAAACCGGATTTGTTATGGGCCCTTTTTTGGAGGGCAGCCTTGTCCTGGAGAGCGGGAAGAGGTCCGCAGCTGTAACAAAAAGAGATGCCCAGGTCAGTGGGTGGGCGCAGTTTGCTCCACTACATCAAAGACTGAAAAGTGCACTACTTAGACAGTCTACCTCCTGGTTATGTGATTAATACAATTGCATGACACACTTTGATGTTTCTCTGGTAACAGAACCACATGAAATATGTGGAGAAGACAACTACTCTAATGTTGTGTGGAAGATGACTCCAGCTGGAGATACAGCAGCAGTACGCTGTCCTCCCAATGCCATGGGTGAGCTCTTCCTGCATGTAGAAAGATTACATTTGCATGTCCTGTAAAAGCATGATGTAACAAGGGCTCACCAAATAATTGAAGGTTAATCCTCATGTGTTTCCCCATACAGGGCTTATCCTTCGCCGCTGCACCCTGGATGAGGAGGGCATTGCCTACTGGGAGAATCCCACTTATATGAAGTGCATTTCTAATGACTATCGCAGTATACAGACTTTAGTGAGTCTAAATAACTTGCAAAAGATGCATATGAAGATATTGCAATGTTTTAGCTGTGTCTGGGTAAAAATGTATGACACATGGCATACATGTTAATTCTTTTTTTTCATTAAGTCTAAGTTACATTGAACTGTTATTATGCTGTGTTATCACTTTTGAAAAAAAGACATGGATACTGCTGCTGTGTTGACCACTAACTGTGAAAACTAACAGAAGCCACTTTCTCTGCTAGACTCGGGAGCATCTGTCCAAAGCGCAGCGTGGCCTTGTGGGAGATGGAGTATCAGAAGTAATGACAAAGCTGAGGGAAATATCCAGTGATGGAACCAGCTATAGTGGTGATTTGCTGGCCATTGTAGATGTGCTGAAGAACATGACAGAGATCTTCAGGAGGACATATTACAGCCCCAGCAATGAGGACACGAGGGTGAGCTGGTACACGGTTTTACCACTGTGCTGCAGCGTGTAATACAGTGTGAAAGTGTCTTCTTCCCTTACAGGTAATCTCTTAAGATCCAAAAGGTCACTGGCAACCCATGTAGGGTTAGAGCTAGGATTTTTGTCTTGTTGTCTAACTCTTTTGTGCCTCCTTCTCTAACACCAACCTGTCACGGCTCCTCCCTGAGCCTGGCTCTGCTGGAGGTTTCTTCCTGTTAAATGGGAGTTTTTCCTTCCCATTGTCGCCAAAGTGCTTGCTCATAAAGGGTCATATGACTTTTGTGTTTTTCTCTCTATTTATTGTAAGGGTCTACCTTACAATATAAAGCGCCTTGAGATGACTGTTGTTGTGATTTGGCGCTGTATAAATAAAATCGAATTGAATTGAATATTCCTTTTATAGAGTTTTTGCCCTTTTAGAATACCCAAATAAAAATGTATTAAACAGAAAAAAAAACCTACAATGGCTACATATAATGCGAAACACTGGTTGGAAACTGTGGATTGAGCAGGTTGGTAATTACAAACAACCTCTTGGCTGGAGGATAGCCATGTCCCTGCAAAATGACTTGGGCAACTAAGGCAACCTTGTTTTCATGCAGGAGTATAAACAGAATAGAACCAGCAGAGTTAAGTCCACTAATCCAAAGAGACGTGGTTGCTTTCAGACTTGCATGCAGACTGACTGCAATACACTGGCAATCTGTCTATCTTTCTAAGTTAGACAGCAGTTATTTGCACACCATTTGAGTTACACCATGATGTTTTTTGGACACAGGTTACCTCCCACCCTGTGCAATCTCCCTGCGATTAAAATTTGTTGCCCAGTGGTTGATTGTGTTGATGATGGCTGCAACTACTTGAAATGAATGCAAAAAATAAAAAATAAATCTGAGCAATCACCGGCTAACGAGTCATAATACAAAAAATCCAGTCCTAACCTAGACCCTAGACAGGTCGCTGGTGGCCTGGTAGAGGTGAAAGACACAGGATGACAAATTTATACATGTTGATATTCAGTTGATGCCTTCTGCTCTCCAGCTGGGAAAGGCTGTGTTCCTATACCCACCTAACAATGTAAATTGACTGTTTCTTATATAGAACCTATGTTTTATACTACAAATGTATTGAATAAGAGGAATAAAAAAGATGGATGAATGGATATTCTATTTCAACGTGCAATCTAGGCTACAAAGTTCAGTTCAGTTCATTTTTATTTCAAACATATACATTCACCAATATTTCATAAAATCATTCCATGCAGTTGTTTGAAAAGGAGTAGGCAGAAGTATATACTTATTTAGCCCTACCCCCTCAGGTTTACATCCTCATCATCTAAATTTGAACAACAAAAACGTATACAATGCCTTCAACTTTGAACATAACATTACAAAAAATATTTTCTCATATTCAACTAAAACTATATTTAGATTTGCTAATTTACAGAAGAAAATAAAAATCACTTTGACTGCTGTCTTGGGTTAATTGCATTTTCTTCATTCTTACTTATTTAAAATTTCTTTTTTGAGTTTTATTTTAAACTGGTTAATATCACTACTGACCTTTTATTTCTTATTTTAACTCATTCCAGAATTTAGCTCCTGCTATTGAAATAGACATCCTTTTCAATGTTGTTCTTACTCTTTGTTTTTTTTAATTCTGCTTCCCTCTAAAATTATACCTCCCTTCTCTTTCTAAGATTTCGATTGGGAGCATCCCTTTCCTTGCCTTATATATTATTTGCACTGTTTTAAACTTCACCAGATCCTGGAATTTTATAGTTTGTGTCTTAATAAAAAGCACACGTTAGTAAAAGTATATTGTAAAATATGCAGTTAAATTTTTTTGCTGTATTTACTTCTTACTGATGAAGTTGCAAATCCTATTTTGTCCTTTGTGAGATTTTAAAGATCCTCTAGTCTCTCCTTGTCTGAATAGCAACAAACTTATAATTTCTGGCTAAAAACTGTCCAAATATTTGTCCCTCAGATTCTGCTACATAACCAAGTTGGCAGCCACTAAGAAGGGTCTAGAAGGATTTCAAAAAACTGAATGCAAATCATTTTTTTCCTTTCCAGAACTTTGTGCAATCAGTCAGCAATCTGTTGATGGAAGAAAACAAGGAGAGATGGGAGGAAGCACAACTGGTTAGTATCAGCCTCTCTTTCTAAAATAGGACCTGTCCTTGTCTGTAATTGCAGCTCCTTTTGAACTTTGTGAGCAATAATAACTTCAACAATCAAGGAGAAATCCTGATGGCAGCAGAGATGACAAAGACACAGGTGGACAAACAGCCCACCTGTGTCTTTACAGACAGAGGAGAAGTGAAAGGGGAATGCGAGAATTGCTGAAAGACAGAAATAACTACAGATAATGACGCAAACACCCACTCATCCATCTGCTGCACTTATTCACTCTGTGCCTCCAACAAGCTGTCCAGCATCCGCCTGTTCTCAGGAATTTCAGCATGCAGACAGAGAAATAATGCTAAATAAAACAAGCTGCTCTACTCCAACTGCTTCAGATATCTTAAAATGGAAATGGCACACTCTGTGTTCCCCCAGCATGGTCTGAATACACGAAGGAGAGCGAGCATTAGCATTTCAACCACTTTACTTTATTATCGTTATTATCTTCAACATTGGGGAGTAGTGAATCACATCTGATTAAACTAAAAAAGATGCATTTTGCATTTTCATGCTGATAGTTCATTCATATTTGCACTTTTTAAAATAATTTTTGTGCCATTTAATACTACAAGCAATATGAGGTTCAGATTCTTTCATAATATTGAAGCCCCTCTTTGATCTAGGCTGTGGCGAAGGCACTCGCAAACGTTCAGAGACCTTTTGAGTTTGAACTGCTTTTGGCCTCTGACTAGCTTTACAGTAGCACAGCCATTTCTGTCAGCGGTGATTAACTCCAACCGTGGCAGCCCTGCTTAGAAATGTAAGGTTTCCTAACTTATTTTGCCATTTAAAAAAAATGTGATTTGATGTAATAGCAGATGTTGCATCACTGCAATGTATTTAATCAAAAAGTCAAGCTTTTAGCCTTGAGGCCTTTATCACAGCCATTTATTTCTCATCACCTGCATTCAGTAGAACCGTGTGCCGTCTTTTTCTTCAGTATTGAAAATAAGAACAAAGCTGCAGTGTATTTCCTGTCATCAAAAAGAAAAAATGGTGATGTACAAATTGTAAATGTTCATGTTGGTTATAGTAGTGTGGGCTATAAGACATTGTGACACTGAACTGAAACAGGACGCTATGGCAATACTTGTCTCAAATTCCAGATTTCCTATAAAAGGCCTTTTGTGTGTCAAGTGCTCGAACAGCATTTCAGAACATTTGCCTCAAATCCATAATCCTTTTTCTTTTATTCTGCTCTCATGTGTCTCTGTTTTCTCAGCTGGGGCCAAACATCAAAGAGCTTTTCCGTCTGGTGGAGGACTTTGTGGATGTCATTGGCCTGAGGATGAAAGACATTCAAGACATGTGTGAAGTCTCCGATAACCTAGGTCAGTCTTATCTCCATCTAGAAGATCTCCACACCTCTCCCTTTTTATCAAAGAAATTCTCCTATCACACCTATATTCTCTGAAGATAAATCTTCATAAATGCAATAGCAACCACTAAAAGTGAGGACACAGGATGGCAGCCTGATGGTTAAAGACATTTCCTTTGGGTTCAGTCTAAAAAAAAGCTCCATCAACCAATGGCTATATGCCCTGTCAGATTTTAGCCCATATCAGTTTTTGATAGAGGCCAATAAGTAACAGGAAACTGCAGAGATAAAAGACATATTTCAGAAAATAAAGAACATTACTATGCTTTTTTTCTTTTTTGAAAAAAATGTCAATAATTTTTGATGCATTTGATTTTTCTGGCTCCTGACTGACAAGAACAAGGAGAACCTTTTTCCTCTGATAAAAGACAAGACACGGTATTATTTCTGCAGCCTATCCCTGGAATACACCTTCAAGCAAAAAGTCAAGCAGACGTGCTCAAATCTATACCACAATCTTCTCTGATAAGACAATAGTGCTAACCAGCCTGCAATGAATTTATTTTAACTAGTCTTTGTTAAGGAACATACACTATACTGCATGTACAGTAGAGTACAAAGAAGGCAGCACACATTCAAGCTGACCTGGACATTTGCATTGTCACATTCAGTTCCTCCTGGTAATGTCTGCAAAAGTTCAGCTCTACAGTGCATGTGTGAAAACAGCTATAGATAGAACTAACAGAAAATGAAGTAGTACATTAGGAATAAATTGGTAGCTATAGCTGGTATCCCCAGTGGTAAAGCTTTTTAAATGTCAAATATTAATTCAATTCACAAGCTATTTTATTTAATTGGATAGCTATGTACCTCCAGTTTTCAGTGATTTAAAATTGCACTTTTGTAAAACTGGGCTTATTACTTTCACTCGGGGGTGAAGGTTGGTGTTGGAAACAAAACACGTGAGACAGGGATGTCCTAGCCTTGCATCTTATGAAGCTTTAGTCCATCCATTTGTTCTCTTTCACTTATTCAATTCACAGTTTGCTGGAGCCTATCCCGCTACCATAGGCTGAAAGGTGGGGCACACCCTGGACAGGTTGCCAGTTTGTCACAAGGCCAACACAGAGACTTGACAACCGCTCACACCTACAGTGTCAATTTAGAATCACCAATAGAGCAAATGGTACAAGCGCACGCAGGCTTTCACAAGAAAACAGTCACACAGCGATAAAAAGAAACACAAAAAATGGCAAGAAGCTGTTGTATTATTAACCGCAATAGCCGGTTGCATGACAGCCACGGGAAGCCAGCTGTTTTTTTTTTTTTATCAAATTCTGTCGTGGAAGAGAAATTGTTCGAGCCATGTTTCCAAAGTAACAAAGAGGCGACGGATGGCCTGGATTGCAGCCATTCGAAGACCAAATAACGTCCCAGAACACTCCAGCTCACACGTTAGTCTGCTCCAAGCATTTCCACAAAGGTAAGTCTTCTCTTGTAGTTATTACGTAATTTATCATAACACAATTGGCGCCGGTGTGTGTAGCTTGCCGTCTGTCTCTGTCAATTTGTTTTTGTTTGTTTTGTTTTTTACAATTTGTGCCACCCAAATCAACTCGCGACTGGTATATGAACGCTAAAAACTTTTGGATCTTTAATATTTTCTGACAAATCAGCAAGGACAAACAACAGGGTATCCCCTATCCCTGGCTGATGTTCCTGATGTTCCTTCTTACCTGCTACGCGGAGCACTTCCTCCTGCTCCAACGCATCGTCGCAGACGCCGCGGTAAACGTGCCGGTCGGCTAGTGAAGCTTAAAGCTTGCCTTACTTTTTCTCTAGCAGCTGCTCCAGTGGATTATAGTCTATTCCATCGCATCCCAAGGCATCTCCTGGATCATGTTGCTCCTTGTCTGGTTCCTGTCGTACGCTCGAGTGGATGTGAGCCTGCTCGCCGGTGTTTTTCACGTCTTGGGCGTTGTGGAATAAACTTTGTGAATTTGCGCCCATTAAGTTGGGCTTCACAGACAACTTCCGCCCAGACTCCAGCTCCAACGAGGATGGGTTTTAATAAATGCCGGGTCCATAGCAAGTAAAACATTTGTCTTAAATGATTTATTTTCTTCAAATGGATTGGATCTCCTTTTTGTGACTGAGACATGGATGAAAATGGGTGAGTCTAGCTTCATTTCTGAAATATTGCCCTCCGACTGCTCATTTTTAAATGCTCCAAGGATATCAGGTAGAGGAGGAGGAATATTGACAGTTTTTAAAAATAACTTTAATTGCAAACAACTCCATGTACCGGTTCCCCCTCCAGTTTTGAACTTTTGATAATTGAACTGGGACATTTCAACCGGTTGGGTGTGCAGTAATCTACCAACCACCGAAGTTTAACAAAGACTTTTTGAATGACTTTTCATGTTTCTTGGCTGACATTGTGCCTAAATATGATCGGATTTTAATAGTTGGTGATTTTAATATTCATGTCTGTTGCTCTGATGGACTGCTTGCTCAGGAGTTTTTAAATCTTATTCAATCTTTTAACTTTGTGCAGTTTGTACAAGGCCCTACACACCAGCAGGGGCACACTCTTGACCTGGTGTTATCGTGCGGTTTATCTGTTTTTAATTTGGAAATTGGGGATTCCGTGTTTTCTGATCACAAACCTGTTTTATTTGACATTTCTCTTGTGCATGAGTTTAAAGCTCGTGCTCCACCCAGGTGCTGTCGAATATTTAATTCTTCCACTGTTGCTCTCTTCTACGGAAGCGTAGAGCCGCCACCCAGGCAAAAGGAAAATAGAAGTATATCACGTTATAATGTGAAAAGTTTATTGTTCTAACAATATACTTTTCACGTTTGAACAACATAACATCACGTTATTACAATATACATAATTATCACGTTCGTACAATATAATTATCATATTGTACGAACGTAATCATATATTGTACAAATGTAAAAAAAAGGTACCATTAGAATAACATTTTTTATTGTAAGAATGTAAAACGTGTTGCGTTCGGGAACCCAAATCCATGGTAGATGTGGAGAGCTCACGCTCTTCAGAACTGGCACTTAACTTTCAATGCCCTGCTTTCAACATAGACACAAACACTGATAGCCCACTTCTGAGATTTCTTCGGAATCGTGGTGTACCTGAGGACTGTCTCTTATGAATGCTACAAGAACGCGTAAGTGCTCTCTCAAGGGGGAAATTTGTAAAACTCGCTTTTTACGAAGTTACAGCATCTAAAAATGTGACATATTGCTAAGTTAGCAACCACAGCGCTTTTCGCTTCTCTCGCTTTGACTGCGTGAGGACGTAACGGTAGGCTGCATTGGTGTGGATCTATATGGAATCGAGAATGTAAAACAAATTAACCCACTGTATAACCCTGGGTCGTTGTTATGACCACGGTTATTAATTGTTACTAATTAACCCTATGCAGATTCCAGGTTTCTTAAATATATCACTATATTATGTGATGCACAATGTTTCCTTGTTTATATAAAACAAATGAATTAAACTGTGCTTATATTGATATTTGGCTTCAATTTAAAAAAACAATGAGTTAAACCCTTTGTGCACGGTGCAACTGAAAGATACGTGAATACTAATTTACTTTTTCAAAAGTGGGCATTGTATATACTGTAATATTTCTATTAATGACATGTTAGAGAATCTGATTAATGTTGCTGGCATAAAGAGAGGAAAAGAATAAATGCTAAATATCGATGGCTGCCACTAAAATAATAATAGACAATTATCAAAACACATGTGAAATTTACATACATTTCTTTAGTGAGGTACCTCATGTGGTGTGGCAGCAGGTATACCTTGTACTTCTGTATACTAATAAATATCTCTGTTATTACAGATTGATCCCACAGTGATTGATTTCATGGAAGACAAGACCCTGTCTGGTTACATCCCAACATATGGTGATCGGATAGCTGCCAGACAGTTCTGCTTGGAAAACAGTGGTGCAAGTACTAAGGAATCAAGAAAAAACTCATTGCTTGAAAAATTGAAGGAAAAGATGGGAATCAATGAAAATGAGAAGAAACCTGATCATGAGGAGGCATTTGTTTCTAAGAGAAAAAGAACATATGCAAAAAACAACAAATGGGCTGAGAAAAAGACTCGAAAAATTGAGTTAGGGTGGATCCATGAAGGTAAGCAAGTGAGAAAGCGCAGAGGAGGAGGAACAAGGACCTTTGATGTGCCCAAAGACTCCAAAAAAGCTGACATATTACAGTATGCTAAAGATCTTTTCTTTCCAAGTGGAAAAAGCAATTTTGGAAGATGGGAGGTGTTCAGTCATGACCAGTGTTGGGTAAGTTACTTTAAAATAGTAACTTAGTTACATTACTAGTTACTTCTCTCAAAAGTAACTCAGTTACTTCAAGTTACTCGTTACTTTCAAAGTAACTAGTTACTAGGGAAAGTAACTTTGGTTTTACTCAGAATTCTCTTGTTAATGTGTTTCTTCCATAACTTTGCCAGTCTTCTAGCTTGCTTACTTGCCACAAGTGCACTGTGCCACCTACCAATAGATAGGAAAAGATAATGTGTATATTTCCACGAGAGAAATCCCACGCCTGGACCGTCATTGACTGCTGCCATGATTCTAGCCTACGTCACAGCGTCATGTGCGCCTTTTACATCCAACACAAAAACTGCAGTCGTGGTGCTTTGATTGTACTCAGAACTCGGAAATTCTGCCTTCTGAATAGGAAGATGTAGGTAACACCAGACTGCAGATGAGCTGCATACAGGGCTGGACTGGGAAAAAAAAAATCGTCCCGGGCATTTTGACTAGAGACCGCCCACCATTATAGGAAAAATCATAAAGCCTTTGAATGAAAACAAATGCTGTTGTGACAGTGATGTTCACTGTTTTGATGGTATATATGCATCAATCTATCAATCGTTTGTTGTAAGACTCAGATAATTATTTTTTAAAAGCTAGACATTTTAAATGAGAATAAGAAAGAAAAGTATTTCTT